AAACACGTCACTATTTTAATACCCCTTCTGGGTTTCTCTTCGTGTACTTCGAGTATTCCCCCTTCGGGTAACGGAATTCGAACGATCTTCTCGAAACAACTAATTTCAGCTCAGTTCTTGGATAACCAATCCATGCCCACAATTATGTCAAAACTTCCTAGTTGGATCGGGATTAAATCTATACGAAAATCCCTACTAGTAAAGTTTAAAGTGCAGTCCATTATTACGTCTGTGGCCTTACACTCTTGACCGTTGGCATATTCAATGATGTATACTTCTTTCAACTTTTGAGGTCTTAGATTTATTTTTGGTCTAAAATCTAATGACACAAAACTCCTATCCACCCCAGAATCAAATAGTACAGATACGTAATGATTATTTAAGAGAAACGTACCTGTAACTACATCTGGATTCTGCCTTGCTTCCTCAGCTCCAATCTCAAACACTTGGCCTCTTGCCGGACCTCCTTGATTCCCTTGGTTGGCTGGTCGTGCTTGTTTAGTGTTCGGTCTCTGGTTCCATCGTGGACATGCATTCCGACAGTGATCTGGGCTTCCACACTCGAAACATGCCCGCCTTCCTGTGCTCCTGCAATCTTTAGCATAGTGACCTCCTTTGTTGCATTTTTGACAGATAATACATCGTCCGGCATGCTGTTTATTGCACTTCTCATACCTTTGATAAGTTCTTTTCTCCTTCTCTGCTGATTGAGTCTGAATCCCGTAGTTTCCTGATATTTTCAGAGCCTTTCCCATTCTTCCCCTAGACTGCCTTCGTGCAGGTTTCTCCATCTTTCTCTTCCCTGAAGCCTTATCTTTTACAAACATTCTCGAAAGAATAGCATTGTTGGTGAGTTTGGTTGCCGAACTTACTGCCTCTTGTAGGGTTTTTGGGTTTGCCGAAGTAACATCCCCGCGTATCACCAAAGATAATCCCCAAATATATCTATCAACTCGATTCTCTTCAGGTGTCACTAGATGCGGTACCATTTTTGCCAACTCATGAAAACGTGCAGTATAAGAGTTTATATCATTTCCTCTCATTTCGTGATTCCATAATTCTGCTTCTAGTTTCTGGATCTCGCTCATTGGACAATATTCTTCTTTCATCATCCTCTTAAAATTTTCCCATGTAAGACCGTTGGTGGCTTCTCGGCCCTGAGTTTGTACTTGGGTATTCCACCAAGTTAATGCTCGTCCTTGTAATAGACATGCATCAAACTCTACTTTCTTCCCTTCGGTACATTTGCTAATATGGAGCACAGACTCCATGCTCTCTAACCAAGTCAGTAATCCCACGGCTCCATCAGTCCCATGAAATTCCTTCGGATTACAACTCCTAAAGGATTTGTACGTACATTCTCTATTTCTCGACCCTTGATTGTTGTTTTGATTATTATTCAGGCCAGCTGCCACTTGGCTAACAATGTTTGGAAGTGCAGCCATGAGTTGCTCGGATACAAGTCGTGCAACTTCGGAATCATCCCTTCTCGGAGGCATTGTTCTAAAACACCATTTTAAATTGGGTTTTGGTCAACTTATGTTACTATGGTCATAATAAATCTACTTACTAAATCATACGTATCTTATAACATATATCTAACATTATTCATGAAAACATATTCTCCAAAACAACATGCGATAAATAGATAACATGCATAAATTTCATAAATAGCCAAAGCAAACCAAACATAAGTTTTAAAATACAACCCAAAAGACATTAAATTGTTTAAATTTAAACATATAGGCTACAAGCCTGATAAGTGTTATTATATTAACCTTATTACATCATTTTCTTAACCATTTTCCTTTGTTTTATTTGCCCATTAGTGTCTTAATAGATTCTTTTTATGTTTTTTTCATATATGTTAGGTCACCTATTGATTTGGTGATGACCCACTGATCTGTTCCTCTACCTTAGCAACACTTAGTAGTTATTGGTT